TAAGCTAAAAGTGAACAATTTCTTTATGCTTTTTCCTGAAGTAGAAACTGGTTCATTTGTTCTTGAATAGCTTCTTTCAAAAGTGCTTCCGCTTCCTCAGTAGCGAAGGCACCAGCCTATGCTTAAGCAAAGAACAAAAACCAATAATCTAAGTAAGTAAGAATAAAGCAAAATCTAAACCTCTCCTCTCCTCCCACCAAAGATTGAAAGCCTGATTTGATTCCCGAACCAAGGAGAGGAAAGTTGGCTATTCAGTCTACTTCCTAAGTCAGTCCGCAAGAACTTTGCTTCGCTTCGTTCGTTGGGTCGATTACATTGAGCTAATTCTACTGGGGAATTACACTGGCACGGGAAGGAAATGAATTGGGCTTAGACACTAGGCATATACATATACAGAATCACATGCGGAGACGCACTCAACCGGAAGAAAGGGTGGTGATTGAGTTCCACGAAAAAAATGTATAAGAATGACATCAGTAGTTGTAATCCAGCTTTCGTGGAAGTAGGAACTAGCGTCGCGTCCATTGAGTCTTTAACCTCTGAAAGGAGAACAACTGCAGTGGAGATTCAAAAAAGACTAGCTTTTTCTCTACCATATAAATAAGGGAAATTCCACCCCGGAAACCATTTTCTCAAGAGTGAGCAGCTGAGAGTAATGGCATACTTTCCTTTCTCCCTATCTTAGGATTGAGACCCTGGGGTGACTGAATTCGCTTTTCTTGTGAACGACTCAGCCCTTTGAAAGCCTTTTATTAGATAGGCAGCGATATAGGGGAGAGGGGAAGGAAAAAGCATATTATTATATTATAATTATTATAATAAGATCAAAATAATAAAATCAAAAAGACGAAATGGGCAGAAATTGTCTTTCTCGCCGAAGGGGACTCCAGTCTTGTTAGTTGACTTTTTGATTTGATGTAAAAATCAAATCGAAATATTTATATATTATATAATATATTATTTGTTTATATATTATATAATATATTATTTGTTTATTTGTTTATATATTATATAATATATTATTTGTTGAATTTTTGAATTTATTGACGAGCGGGAGAAGCGGAGGCGGGGGCACCAGTAGATCGGAGCCATAGTCTACAGTAGCAAAACCATACCCATACGTCGGGATTGGTGATGCATCACAAGTACCAGCAGCATCATAGGCATCATCTTAGCCAGATCGATAGGCGGATTCCTTCGTGATCGTCAGCCATACCAGCACCCCTTCCGAAGATTGGGGATAATCAGGATCCCTTGGTTTGGTAAGGCAGATAGATCAATCAACCCATGCATGAAAGGTAGTGAAACCAGTATATAGAGTAGTGGTGAAGCAAGAGGATGTCAAGAATGAGGCGCTAGAACAGACTGGCCCGCAGGCTTACAACCTGACACCGCTTGGCTACTTTTCGAAAGCAGATCGATGGAAGTTGCTTGTACGAGACTGCGCCTCCCGGCTCTCCAATGGAATTTTTGGTAAATGAAAGCAAAGCGAAGCTTTACGACCAAGGAGAGAGAAAGATATTTTATGAATGATAGAAGGATGCTCCCCGAGCACAGGCTCGTTTAGAAGGATAGAGCGCCGCAAGACAAGATGGCATATTGAAGGGAAGGATATTATGGGAACACTAGAGGGAGCCCATAAGAACTGCTGGCTGTAAACGCGACTTGCTCTGCTCCTCCTAAAAAAAGCCTCTTTCTGTTAGACGATACCAGCAGCAAAGGAATCCTTGGACAAGATGGGCTGTAAGGAATAGTAAGTAGGTCGGAAGGCCAAGAGAGATAGCCGTTCCATTCCATTTCCATACACTGCTCTCGCATGCCAGGCAGAAGAGAAGAAGTTTGTTGCCAAACCAAGCTCCACAAGAGACCAACTAAACGCCTTTCAAAAATTATGACTGGAAAGGCAGATTTTGAAAACTAGCCTTTCAACCGGCTTTCTTTGATTCAAAGTCCTATGTTATTGAGTTAGCCTGCTTCCTCGACTGAAAGGCATGAAGTAGCTCGACCATAGGTCAATGTAATCTTTAGAAGCGAAGCGAAGTGAACAAACGAAGCAGCAATCAAACTACTGCGCGTTAGCGCAACGACTTTCGCGCGTCTTGCTCAATCCCTTGCTTGTTAAGTGAAGTCAAGAATGCTTCGATCATCATGAAAGAACGTTGAGAGGTGAGTGATCCACGCGAAGTAGCCAAGTGCCAAGTCTTAGCGTGGGGACCCATCCGTCGTTAGGAGAACATCGCCTATACTGACTCCTCCTAAAGCTTATCGGCAGGGCGGGGCCTATTCGCGTGCCAGCCCTTTTTTGGTTTTCCAATGACTTAGCTTGCCCTTGCTCTGGGACCGGAACTTGATCTCGAAATAAGCTTGCACTTTCACTATCTTTTTTCCTTTTCAGTCTCTTTTGAGTTCTCTCTCTATTCTTTTCCATAAGTGCAGTCCATTCTTCCAAGTGTTATGAGTTCGCACTTGTAGTCTCTGCTTGCTTCCCGAGTTCACTACCACCCCTCAAGCAAGCCAGTCACAGCTTTTCTCTGGCTGGGGACATTCCACCAAGGCCAAGGATGTTTTCCCCCTTTCTCTCCATAGTGCCTCTGTGCTTGACTTTGATTTTTCTCCTCATCACCGGGTACTGTAACAGCCAGACTTTTTGGCTTGCTGGCTATTTGCTTCACACGACGACCAGAGGATGATTCACCTTAGAGCGTTAGAGCGGTCGAGAATACGAGTTGTGAATATATGACATCTTGGGGTCGGGAATAACGTATATCGTCTCGTAGGAAAGCACATTTGCGAGGTCCTTGCGTTTTGACTTCGCTTTCAGGAAATTGTATTCTTTGTTAGTCGTATTTGATTGTGTTTTTTGTTATTCGTGTATTGGAAAGCCTTAGATCAAAGGCAGGAAAGGGATCAGAAGAGAAGGATCGTCAACAAGCCGGAAACCAGATAGTACTATTAAACTAGCCTAAGGAAATAGATATCTAGTAGGTCGAAATCCTGCTCTTATTAGCGCTTTACTGCTGTGTCCACAGCTCCCAACATATTTTGTTGTTATGCGCGTGAGGGAGATTAGTCCTTCCGTAGTTGACTCATTTTATATTCTATTTTAGACTTCCCCGTCTTAGGACTCTTGATCCCTAGATCTGTCTGACGGACTTTCCTTTTGGTGTCAAAACCCCAGGGGTCAAGAACCAGATATGGTATTCAGATTTAGTGTTTAACCAGTCCTACTCTGAGGTCTTGGATTTCTACCAGTATTTAGTATACTTTCTAGAGGAGTCTAGCTTCTGTTTCAGTTAGAAAGAGCTGGAGTCGGGATTGGCAAGTTCCAGTACCAGTGCAAAGACCAGAAAGGCCGAAATTCTAGTATTTGTTGAAAAGTACCCCTCGGTGTGATATATCCAAAACTAGAGTTGCATCTTTTTATGACGAATCACCCACATGGGGTCTGAAACTCATTCTTATATTACTTCGAAGACACTAAGATTAGGGCATTACTGCAGTGCCTATGGAAAGGGAAATGAAATACTCAAGATCGTCAACAAGATAGCATTTAGAAGTTTACCCTGGGTCGTGAACAAGTTGGGCTCGCTTGGCAGTACATACCAAGGGTCGTCAACTGGTAAAAGGGAAAAGTAAACTCATATTCTGTCTGAGACCGCTCGAGGAATCGGGTAGGAGAGTTCTAGTCCTATACCAATCATTGATTGGGATAGCGATTCCATACTTCTAGCAGCTGCGTTATGAAGCCTATCAGGAAATCGATTTGAGTATTTGTTATCGATTGTATTCTTTGGTAGTCATATTGGTCGTAAACTCAAGAACTCAAACTTCTATTTAGTGGGGCCAATGCCCCGTCGGGGTGAGAAAACCTGAGATGCCGGTGCGAGGAGAAATACCTCGGGTCGTCAACAAGACAAGCCGGAAAGCGATCTAAAGAGAGAAAATACCTCGGTTTGGAAGCAAGCCTGGAAAGGCATCGGGTATTACCCAGCGTCGTTAAAGTCGGGAAAATGGTATAAGACCTGGTCTTTTCCCTAAAGAGTTGATGCCAGATAAGGCCTGGGGCTCTGAGGTAGAATAATAAGCGAGGGGTCCTAAAAAAAGTCCAGTAAACGGTCTCAGGTAAGCGGATTGTCCAGTAGATTGACTTAAGGCAGGTGCTGGTTCCGGTAGCGGATTATCGGATATTCCAGTATTTGGTGAGTGAATCCGGGTAAGCTCTAGGGGATGGGCGAGTCTGTTCTGTTCAAAGGGTCATGTAGGTAGATCACAGTTGCTTCATTTCACAGTTATATGAGATGCAACTTTTTCAATTGAGAAGCTAGTCGTAGAGTGAAAAGTGACTTGCCAACTTTTCCAGCTATGTAAAACGAAAAAAGTCGAATTTCAATGATCTTCGTAGAGTGAAAATTGGATTGCTAACTTTCACAGCTATATGAAATGCAAAAAGTCGAATTGATCAGATCCAACGAACGAAGCTTTAGCTACAACCGGACACTGAGAACGTGCTTTTCTTTTCACAACTAGGGTTTCAGTAGCTACACCGGCTACGAGCTCGAGCTTATGTGACAGAACGGAAAACGCTACTCAGTGCGGGAAGACAGTCGGCCGAGTGGGAACTCTATCTATGCAATTCCTCAGATCAAAAGAGTTTTCGTGAGACTCAAAGAACGAAGCGAAGCGAAGTGACGTTAGCTAAGGATTTTCTCAGGGGGAGGGAACTCGAAAAGGATGATATGGAATTGCTTTCAGAGTTCGGTCAATATACGATTGAGGCATTAATAGTTCATGTACTAGGACAGGTTTTTCACGCAGACTCAATTATTCGTGTTGCTTCTTTGGTTGAACAACTAGAGTCTAGTGTCCGGATACATGCTTCATTATTGAAAAGCCGCAGGTGTAAAAAAACATTTTCTACGGCAACAAATAATGAAGAGATGAAGTCTGGTAAGGAGAAGAAAAGATCTAAATTGGAGATGAAGTATCCCTTCGGTTCCGGCTTAGTTCAATTCATGGAGGAAATTTAGTGGGCCAGTGAAAGCCTTTCCTCCACCACCAACGACAACTAAGGCTTCACCCGCAATCGATTTCTCGGTCTCACCTAGCGTAAAGTAAAAGAGAATCGAATCCCTTGAGTTAACCGTTTGAGAGGAATCAGAAATGGAACCTTTGGCGGGATTCTTCCCCACACCCGTTCGGTAGTCTACTTCGGTTACAACACTATTTCCCCCCCGATCCGGGGCTAGCTTTGCTTCCCTCTTCCTCGGAAAAGACCAAGGGTCGACAAAGTTGAGGCGAATCGGCTTTCTTTGTCTACGAATAGGCTGCCCAAAATAGGGTCTTCCGGTCGAGCCTTTTTTAACCACCGCCTTTTTCTTTCAAGGAGGATCTGCGAGATATAGATATGCTCGAACCGGACCGCATCTCGATTTAGGAACCACTGATAACTACAACTCTATTGTAGTAGCTGTTGTTGGTTGCTTCCTCTTGGGCACCCCGAGCTGAGTCCAAGCATTGAGAATGAAATAGGTCATCTTTCTTACCAATCTCACGATCAGAACTCATTAGCGGTTCCTCTCGGGACCAAAGCAAAGCGGGAGCAGAAGGCGTGAGGACTCAGGAAAGTCTTCCCTACCAGTGTACCCTATTCCAGTGGAACAATTTCCTGGTTCCGCTCGGCAAGAAGTTTATGAGTAGAGAATAGTTCATTCCTCAAGCATTCAATGGTCTGAGCCTTCTCCAGTCCGTCTTGTTTAGCAAGTTTGACACTGCTCTCTAGGATGCAAGTTCGTGCCTTAGCANNNNGTTCACACTCTTTAGTAGCAGTGGAGGCGGATGCTTGTTCGTTCAGCACCCTGTTTGCTCTCGAAAGTCTAAACACTTCATTTTGAAGCTTCTGTAGAGCCTCAGATGCTTAAGCGCACTTTTCCATAGTACGCAAGTGAACTGGATCTACACACACAATTTGATCTAATTCATCCTCAGATGCTTCAGTTTCTTTCAAACTTTCTTCAAACTTGGTCGGAGTATGAGAAGTGGTGAGACACATGAACTTCTTGACCGAGGTATGAACCGACAGGTTGCTTGTGTGAAATGAAGGTTCATTTGTGCCCTCTTCATCTGAGTCTTCCCAGGTTGCCTTCAGTGACTTATTCTTCTTCTTGAGATTAGCACACTCAAACTGGAAGTGTCCAAAGCCTCGACACTCCCTGCATTGATCCTTCCCGACTCGTTGTGAATCGGATTTTGAGAGTGGCATAGTGATTTTCTTGTCCTGCACTACATTCTTGTTGTAACTGTTTTCCTTTTTTTCCAGCAAATTTGTTCTTGTACAGCCTTTGACTCATCTTCCCATAGTTTCGCGCGATTAAGGCTAGTGCTTCCTTCATCTCACTATCATCTGCCAACGAATATTCATCATCATCGCTTTCTTCTCTTTCCTCGACTACAGCAGCTTTGAGAGCTAAGGTGGTGATTGCCTATAGTTTCAATAATAAAAAAAACTAGTTTTTATTTGGTTTATTTTTAACTATAGCTAATTTTGAAAAAATGTGGTGTGGTTAGTTGTTAGTGGATATATTAAAATAATATTTAAATAAAATAATTA